AGGAGGGTAGGTAGTAGTTGAAGGCGTTTCTCCTTCGTGTTCTCCATATTCTCCCATTTTAAGTCGTTGCACTGTAAGTTTTCCTAGCGACATGCACAGGCATCTAGTTTGCTGATTCACGGCGTTGTCGACGTTTCCGATGCATTCCACCGTTACTCTCAATCAGCGAGAGAAGTGACCTACAAGTTGACGGTATCTATGTGTTCAAACCAGCACTCCGAGCCATCTTGTCTACTGGAGGGTTTTTTGAAAGGCGAAACTGGCTGGAGGGGATGAAGCGATTCTGACGAATTTGACTCGTTTGTGCTAGACTACTGACTACTTCTGACCCAGGTGAGGGCTTGTGACGATGGCGTAAATGCCTTTCAATGTCCTATTTCACATCACTAGTTCCTTCTCATGAACCTCTTTTGTAAATCAGGAGAGGATGCCCTACTACTTTATTCCGCGCTAGGGAAAGGAACACATGGGAACAACACTAACCGATGTCTGCTCACCTCCATTTCGAATCTATTAAACCTCTGATCTATTTAATTAGTTGAATAAATGCTCCCAGCTCTGCGAAGATAGCATATAATTTCAGGAAGTAAAGGACTTTTCGGATGGTTGTGGAGCGAAATTTAACATCGTTGTGGTTTCCGACGCATTCATTGGAAAGAGAGTCATAGAATGTCACAGGTAAATCAATTTTTGGTGGCATAGAGTATTTTCCTCCTTCCTGCATGTATTGCTAGATGAGTAATACAGCACCCCTGCATTGTGGGATCATTTACACTCTGTCTCCCGCAACTAGGTGCTTTACGTGGCTCACATGGCGAAGTTCTCGTTGAAAAGACGGCCTCGAGAGTCGTCGGGGGTTTTTCCCGAAGGTCGTATGCTGCACCAAAGGGACATCCCCTCCCGGGGCTTGCTGCATACGGCCCCATATCTCGAAGTCTGGGTAAGCGTCCGGAAATGACGTGGCGGCTGCCGCACTTGATAGCTTATCCACGCGACTTCTCTTTGAGCTGATTGCTAATTTCCGCAGAGTATATTTGAAGCAGTTTATCCGCGCAGTTTCTTTTGAAGGAAGCGATCACGCTGGCTTCCACGTGGATTTGCTACCCTCGCGTTATCAATCGATAAGGTGTGAGGCAGTAATTGTTGGACGAGTGTAAGCCCATGGAAGATATGATACGATGAGATAAGAAGATGCGGCTGCTTGAAAGAGGTGCACTCCAGAATGAAAACGGGACGATAACGATAACGGTATCATATCTAGTACGCTGCCATGCAACCCTTCCACATCGATACGTGTTTTTGCTACCCGGAAGTGGATTTCGGCGCCTTATCACGCCGTTGATAAGGCGCCACTGACACTGAAACTTCACCTGTTAACATTGGG